CATTTTATTAGCCAAGTCCAGACACGGTTGGATGAGGCGTTCATGTGTCACTACATCGAGTGCGAGGTCAGTTTTAAATATTAAATGTAAATACCTATAAATTATCTAATACTTAGAATTTTCCAACATGGAAAAATATTCGCATTTTTTAATTTTTATGTAATAAAAAATATAAAGTTTAGAATATAACTATAATTGAATTTGGTTCTTTCTTCGTGATTCGACTTCGACGTACAATATATAAGTAGTATATTATAAACTATAACAATATAAACACTATAAACTTTGTTGTCCACTACGAGTTGACATTGATGACACCCATGACATTAATACGATAAAAATAAATTTTGTTTTGATTTAAAAAAAAAAAAGTAATGCAATTACCTATATATTTGATATACATATTATGAAGAAATTTGATGTATTATTATAACATGTACTGGAGCATGCTAGTTTATTTTCATTATTTTAAATGTATGGATTCAAAAACTAATAGAGACTCGAAGCCTCTGTTGTTTATATACCTACAACCTACACGATTTTATGTTCTCGGATTTCTTGAGAATTGGTGTAGAAGTATCGTGTTTCGTGGGAATCCATTGATGGCCGACCAATTATACACACGTCATTCGTTTCGTTTACGGTTAAGAGGACGTCGTACCTACATGCGTGTTGACTCTATTTTACTAACGTAAATTATAGCAAATTTTAGGTATGACATTCTCTTAAGAAGTAGTAAAAGACACTTCTTAATACAGAGAAGAATCTGTGTATGGATGTTTAATATATAGGTGTATAGCTGGACATGTATGTATGTAAGTACTTACTGACTACGCAGTCAGAAGGGAAGCCGAAAAATAATAAATAAAATAAACCTATATACTTGTCGAATGCGAAATTTAATCATAATATTCTGTTCATATTTTATTGATATATAATAAGAAGTATAATCACGTAGACGCGTAGCCATATTATCAGTCAAATTATTTCGTGAACGAAAAATATAGTTAATGCTGTTCACAGTATAAACATATTATCAACATCGCCGTTAGTCTGTGATTATACTTATTCGCCTTTGACCCATTTAAACGGAAATGGTTAGGCTATCGGATTATTTTGTATCAAATAACCTCGGTTTTCAATTAGTCTAAGCCAGTAATCGACCAAAATAGAACATTTTGTCGTTATTTGTATAATTTACTAGTTGTCTTAAATATGTCTATTATAATGTAATGCGAACATTTTATAACATTATTTTTATTTATATTCATTTTTTCATTAAAACCACATAATATATTAAAAAAAATATAGTGTTACTCACCATATTTACCTTAAATAGGTTGTATTCTCTAATCAATTGTAAAATATAAACAAAACCGTTAATACATCTTCACGGAAAAATATATTGTAATGCATTATAAATCTTTAGTGCCTATAGATAACCAGAGGCGTTATTCAAGAATTTAGTATTGAATGCTAAACAATTTAACACTCATAATCAGTACTACTTTAATTACTATCAGATTTTAAAATTTTTATTAAACATAACAATATTTTAATAATTTATCGATTTTCTTTAAAGAAAAATAAATAAAATGATTAGACATACATATGATGCATACACAATACAAAAATATAACTGTAATTTCTATACTTTTTAACTAAAAATGATAAAGCAAAAGAAAATTCAATAGATAATCTGAGATGGCTAATATTTTAGTATTTACAAAATTCCATAAAATATATTTAACAAAGGATAATGAAAATTTTCAATAAAAATGTTATAATTTCTATTAAAAAACTGTCTATTAATTTTAATAAAAAAAATCTGTAAATATACAGTATCCATGAAAGCAAATACATACCTTTATATACCCTATAAATTACACAAATTGCTGTACTCTTACTACGCTACTTTAGGTAACAATTTTAACTAATTCAAGTTTTGTCTCGACTGGCCGAAGGCGTACACTGAAGTAAACACTAATATTATAAACTAATAAACATTCCATGTTTAATCGAGGGAAATTAAAATTAAATACATGTTATAGATAGGTATGTGGACATAGTTCGTAAATATTTTAAAATAGTTGTTGACCATTGTCTATTATTATACTTCGGAACTTAAAGTTTGATATATATTTAAAGGACGTCTCACCCGAGAGTGTTGTTTCCATCTTACAAATACGTAATATGGCAAAATTTAATAGTTTTCATTTAATAGCGTTAATTTACCTAATGTAGAATAATATTTGTGGTTTATTAGAATGGGTTTTTTGATATTTTAATTTTTAAGCAAATTAATATAACAATTAAAAATGTTCACATCATCACAACTTACTTCAAAATAATTTAAACATCAAAAAATATACTTGAAACGAACTAGGGAAAATGTTTTTAGTGTTTTTTTTTTTTTACATTAAGTTAAATAATAACTAGTAAATTAATTTAATAATTTTAACCAACGAAGCAAAACAATTATCAAGTACTAAATTTCTGTTGCGCACTTGTAAGACATAGGATAATATATGCGGATGTATTAATTTCCCATCTTAAATAATTTTATAAAGACACAACAAACATCATTCACGACTATATTTACCAACAATGTTTATAATTTATAAATAAAATAATAGTATTATTATTAAGCCGTAAATTATTTCATAAGTTCGTATTGACAATGAGCGAATTTTAATGGTCATATAAAATGTATTTTCTTTATTCTAATCTTCCATAGATTTATAGATTTGGAATTTTTATAAATGAAAATGGCATTATATAATATTATCATATTATGTCTACCTATTAATAATTGGTAAATATTTTTATGAATATTCAATAAATACGTCTAAATAAATATAACAAAAAACCCAATCGAAAATTGTAAGCAACTGCGAAATAAAAAAATGTAATTATTTACATAGATATTGGTCTACGAGACAACTTTCTATTTAATATCATTATTTAACTATTTTTTTCTTCGTTGATTTAAATTTTAAACTGTTTTTTAAATAAACGATTCCTGCAGGCAAATGAATTTTGCTATTGCGACAACATGAAGTGTATGGCATATAATATTCATTTGATATGTATTAGCAATAGATAGATATTTTTCAATGAACTAGTTTATGAATAATACAGTAAATAAATATCATGAAATATCGTATCATGTACAATATCTAATGTAAAAAATGTTTTATTATTTTCTTTAATTCGTAAAATTTGGAAAAATATAAATTTTTTTTTTAATAGATTAAAAAAATCATTATTCTTAACAATTACATATTTTTGGTGTAAACTAGTTAATACATACTAATCGATTAAATTATAGAAAACAATTTCTTTTTAAAACCAACACGGTAGAACAAATTAATTTTGGACAAAAAACAATACAAGAATCGAAAGAATATATTATTATAATAAACCGAAAAGTGCTATAGCATATTATTACGACTAAAAAAAATTGCATATACTTACATAACATTAAAATCATTAGATTAGGACCATTATCTGTACAATGAATTATAATCAATTTGATTTACATTTACGCAATTTGATAAAAATGAAATCGGTAGATAATTAGTTTTTATGGTGTACCTTTGGTTTAAGATTATTATTCATTTATTTATTTTTTATTAAACGTAATTTTGTACATTAAAATGCAGAACAGTAAATAACTCAACTGTTTTAATCCTAGGCAAAAATATAAGTGTATCATTCTTAATTGACTATTAAAAATTACGATTAATATATTAGATATCAGGATTTGATAAAACTATTATAATGGAAATACAAAATTAAACGTAGTTTACCATGAAACAGTTAATAATAAAATTATAAATCATATATAGATATTATACCTCTATACAAATCACATATAAACTTCTGTTCTAAGAATATAATTGTTGTTATTGTCGAAGGTATCTAATGGGCGGTTTAAAGATAATAGTTATATTTTTGGTGTTCTAAGTATTGAATTATAGTGTTCACTCATAAGCAATAGATGGGATTTCAAAAACTGTACAATTATATTTTGGTGTGTATATTTTTAATGTATCAAACTAAACTAGCCACTATTATGATGAATGGTGGAACCAAGTAAGAAGAGCATGTATAAATATATATATTGTATAAGCTACAACAAGCAAATTATTTTTAGAAGTAAACATAAACATGTATATAAGATGAAAAAAATTTTAATTGGATAGCAAATTGGCAAAACGGCGAGTTAGAAATAAGGAAATTTATAATTTAGGAAAGATTTGCTTGACTGAAGTGGAAATATTTATTTATTTTTTTGGTTTTCATATTTTTAGTATTATACTTAGGTACCATTCAAACTTTTATTTTATAAGACAATATTGTTATGTAATAATGATCATAGATGTGATTAATAGATATTTTCTTATTCGATTAACGTTATCAACCTATCTTTAGTGGCCGAGCCATTAAATAAATGTATTTAAATCAAAGTTGATGACTTAATAATGAAGACAATCGCGCACCACGTGGTTCATGAGTTCATAACATACATGACATTTGAGTATTCCAATTAAAATTTACAAAACGTGTGATCACTTTTCACATTACAATAGTTAATATTTATATAATAATCTTACATGATTTTTGTTTTTTAAATACACTTTAAAGAATACTACCTATTGAACATTACAAAACCGTTATTTCTATAGATATTAGTAATTACGTAAAATATCAACATTGTAAAGATCTTAGTATTATACTTAGAACCCAATTTACACGACATATTGAACTTTTACTATTTTTTTTGTTTAATAAACACATTTAAAAACTACAACAATATTCAATTTTATACATCCTTTAAAAATATATAACTACTAAATGAAGATTTTTTAGCTTTACTTCAAATAAGTAATAATAATTATCCATTGTAGGTACAATATAATATTAAAATTTGTATTAATTATAACAATATCTTGACGCTAACATTTAAAAATATGTAAGAAAATGTTGTTACTTACTCGTAAAAAATGGATGGAACGATTCGTCTAGTATGGACTTAAGTCCCATATCAATATCATCGAACATGGATTCTCCGTTGTTGGTTCGTAAATCGCACATGTTTATATGATAATTTATATCCGTATGATAATATGTGTGTACAAACAAAATTTAATCAAAAAAAAAATAACTGTCGTCACCAACACACAAAATGACTGCAGTGATCACGTGTGCGAGACATGAAAAACCCGTACAATTGAAAAAAAAAATACGTATATTATAGGTATTAATATTATTTTATGTCAGTAAAAACCACTAAACGTTTAAAACGAAATCGAAGATTTATGCACGCCCGTTACTTAAACAATCGATAATACTGCAATAACGAATAATTAACTTGGTTTTTGTCTCGAATGAAAAGGTAAAATTAAAAACAAAAATAAAACTAACGAATGGACGAATATAACCGAGTTTGTGCTTTTAAATAAGTCACACATACGAAACATCCGACACTTACCAACCTACTGAACGGGGCGATGGAACGAACAGTCGACGGGTCGACGTGCAGAAGCGTCTGGTATATCTAGCTATGACGTCACGCTAATTGGACCGGTTTGTTTTTGATATTTTTCATTAACCGTGTTTGGTCAAATTCAAATCATTTCTCAAACGCCGATAACGCTGATAACTTTACTACGAGACGGTCCGTATTGTAATTTTTGTAACCAATGCATACAACTTCACGGTGTAAACACGTATTCTGATTAGAGGTATTCATTACTTCGATTTAATCGCCATCGACGGAGTGACGATTGCAACGACCAGCAGCTATTACTGTGTATTATGATTAACACCAGTGATAACAAAAAAAAAAAAAAAAAAAATCAAAAAACAAATAACATTTTGATGATTTGATGTGGGTACGTACAATTTGCATTTCGAATATAACAAATATAGACGTGAATATTATATCTTAGGATTTATGGCTACCTATTGTATTAGATTAAATATCGTATCGGAATTATTGCGTTAGATATTATGTAAAAATCATATTCTATGATTAAATGCACTGCCACACTGAGGCAGTTTGTTGATTTTGACAAATAGTATTAAAACTATTCAATTTTTTTTTTTTTTTTTCGTATGGCGTAGATGTCCGGGAGTAGGCCTGAAGGCCTATAGTTCGGGCGCCTGTTTGGCAGAATTTTTTTTTTAGTGGGCACCCGTAGGTTTCTGCCATGCCCGGGTGGGGGCGGCGGCTTCTCTCTCCAGACACCGTGACTGCCTGAAGAGTGACGCCGCCCGTGACCGAGATTCGAACCGGCGACGGTGCGCGACGCAACCGCCGCCTTAGTCCGCTCGGCCACTTCACCCCCAACTATTCAATAATAAATTATCTTTTTTTTTCAGAATTTATTCATATGACTGATACTATTTTTTAGTATTGTGGGTACCTTATATAGGTACTTTATATACCTATACTTTAAACTCGTATCGACGTGCAAGTCAAACGTGATATAGACTGTAAAATATATATTAACATAACTTTTTTTTTTTTTTTTACTACCTATATATGTTAAATTAAAATTTATAAAATATAATGAACTTGATATGATTTTAAAATCTTTTCTAAGAACATAAAATATCGGATCTCACTGCAACAAATAAGTCGTTTATTATACTTATAATATATTTAAATGATTAATAAAATGTTAACCTTAAAATACTTTTATGGAATGACAGAAAATAATGATAATGTATTATATTTAAACTAGACACTCATAAATTTCATAATTTATTTTTTGAGAAACAGGAGAAGTCCCTCGATTGTATGGTATGGATATAAATATGTACTTACAATGTTATTGACAAGGAGTCTATCCTGGCTTAGGTCATTGATATGGATGTATTTAATTTGAATAATCATAAATAATTATCATTAAAAAGTAAGTACGTAAAACGATTCTGGGCAGTTTGTCTATTTTTAATTTATATAGGTATAATGTATAACATAATTATACTAATTTAAGTAATTTTTCTTTTAATAATACGATAGGTTCAACTAATTTTTATCTAACATATTAAATATTATTAATTGTTATAATATTAAATACTTATAATATTTATATGATTGATATTAACTTTAATTTGTACACAAGGAGTAGTCATAATTTTGTAATACGATAGTAGGTTCGTAACTAATAAAAGTTATTAGCTTAAAAATAGTTTAAATATTTTAAAATTGTTATTGTATGTACAACATAAAAATAAGCGTGAACATTTGATCAATTGAAAAATATACTAAATATAAATTAAGTTAGATTTTATGTTTTAAATTTTTAAATTTATGGCTAAAATTATGTTTATATTCTAATTTAATTTAGGTTTGACTCGTTATAGTTATTATTTTATATTTTGTCAACAGTAACAATTCTTTGTTACACTCTTAAAGATATTTAGATTTTTAAGAAATTTTATTTTAAAATGTAAAATTATTAACAAAGTAATTGTGGAGAGATAATAAATTGTTGTAAATGTCTGTACCTCAAGCATACGTATTTATTAAATTTCACCTTTAATTAAACTACACATTGCCTCTACTTGATGATTTTTTTAACAGTGATTAAGTTTAAATGTATAATCATTTATTTCGAAATGTATAAATATTTTTGAAATAATTTCTTTTATATTATTTGAAGTCCTTACAAAATTTGTAAAATAAAATAATATTTTTAGTATTTTTATATTTTTATAATATACATATTTTTTTTTTATTAAAATGTTTTATATTTTTACAATTTGAAAAGACTAATTTTTTTTTTTACTAGCTCATCCTATACGGTGTTGCTTTGCTCGTGACAAATTAAATGTTTGCGGAAACTTATTTAAATGTAAAGTGCACTGTGTACAGATTTTTAACAGTAGTTATTTGAATTGTTTTAACCGTTTATAAAATACAGATCTAAAATTATATAAAATTAAAATTGCTATTTTATTTTATTTAATCAATGGTAACATCCTAATATACAAACAAATCATTGTGTGACCCCATTTTTAAAATATACAATATTTAAATTTTTTGAGATACACATTATGGGATATTACTTTTTTGTATCAAATTTTAGAACCACAAGTGTGGTATACTTGGTTGTGGATCGCTTATACACATACACAGTACACACACATAATCATTACCTTTCATTAAAATTGATTCCTAAGCGGTATATATTTTCTAGAATTTCAAAATGTAAGTAATATATAATAAATTGATAAAATATAAATATTTGGTGAAAATATTAAGTCTACAGTTATTTATAATTTTTTATTTTTCTCGGTAATTAAAAAATGAGCATTTTTAACATTCAAATTATTATCACTAATTACCTATACTAGAAACCACATTTAAAATTGAAGGTTAAGTAGTTCAAAGCAATGAAAGACATAATAAAAAAATTTATTGTTAATTAAAATTATTGGATTTGTTTAAAATATAAACAAATGTTTAATACTTGAAACCCTTTCTTAACTCTTGAAAAATAATTAAAATGTAAAATTTCATTATCACTTTTTGTCTATAATTTTTCAATTAATTAATTTTGAGAATGAAATAATGAGAAATATATTACCATTTTTATTTCTCACAGTTGAAGCAAGTTAATTTAATCGATTGGGAAAATCAATATAATCGGGATGCCCTAATTAATGTTTAATATACACTCGTATAATAACTATTAGGATTTTCAAAGATGAATTTTGAACAAATCGTAATATTTATTCAAAAATGGATATTGAATAAAATTAAATTAGTTATTGTATGCGAGTTAAATTTTTATTAACCTTCAAACCATCAGTGAAGGATCGTTTCCGAACTTATTCTTCATTATATTCTGTGATATAATTTATAATCATAAAATATTTAAATTATCTTGTATTTCAACTAACATTTTTATAGTTTACACGAATATATATTAACTAATTGTATTTGTGCAATGATATTGAGATAAAAATTGTATTATTTTCACACAGTCACACGCGACGTTTCAATGTCCCATTATTCATTTATTAAATTGTCAATCATGTTAAATTTTGAAACTTTTTTAGGGCATATGATACAACATATATCCCAATAAATAAATTAACACCAATTGTATCCATAATAATATTTAAAACTACAGTTAACTTACGTTTTATAATATGTGATACAAAATTAAAATCTAATACACTATACACAATGTTAATATATCAAAAATAAGTATAATGTAAGGTCGACGTATGCTGTTTTGAATAAACAGACGATGTTTCTGAACTTAATTAGACTGTTTATATTTTATACATATTATAATCAGCTGTCTAGGTTTACATTTCATTGTATTAATGAGTTGTCATCACGGTCGCCACATTATATGTAAATATTATGCTTAACACAAATATTGAGTTGTCTAATGCACCTAAGCACCTTATTTAGAACATTACATTATTATGTTTAAGTATTTAACTAAGTAAAAATGCTGCTATTATTTAGTTAACTTATAAATTATAACTAAGTTATACATATTTATATATTATACAAACAAATTTTATCATCCAACTATATCCTATGTAAAGTTTAAAATAATTAACTTTTTGATTCTGAGTGAAGCGATAAATGTATTGGTTTTACAATAGTGTATTTTTAAAACTTTTATAATTTTTAAAACTTAAACTTCAGAGTTCTGATATTAAAAAAAAATATTTACGCGATTACGTTCTACTTTTTTATAATTCTAGTAGACTTATAAGGAATTTTGTACTAAATTTTCTAGTTTTTTAATTGCAAAGCAAAAGTGTTTTTACAAATATTTGTAGAAAAAAAATCAAAGATTTCAAAATTTATAAATATTTCAAAAAGAGTCTAAACATTTTACCGAAATTGTACTATGTATTAAAAATGTTAATATCATAAATATCAATAATGTTTCATTCAGTGAAAATTTTAAGAATTTAAGGTTATTCGATTTTGTAAAACATTGGAGCAAAAGGTTTTTTTCTTTAATTTTTTTTTATTTCTAAGTGGAGCGATAAAATGTATTTATTTTAAAGCTATGTATGTTTTCTACTGCCGTCATCATATTTTTATGATTTATATTTGGAAAAAATTTGATATTTAAAAAATAAAGTTTTAAACATTTAACTATTACTTAAATTATCATTTTCTGTGTACAATGAAACTTTAAAAATATTTAAACTAATTTTATATACAAAAAAACCACTGTAGACCATTCTACAATACGTCGTATATTGATTTTTAAATTAATAACACCTAGTGATATTTTAAGATATAAAAAAAAATAATAATATAATATCTTTTTATTTATAAAACTTTATGTCTATTTGTATGGGTCTTTAGTCTTGGAAATCACGTTATACAGACTAATCAAAGGGTAGTATATTAAAATAATAAAATAATATTTAATTATTGTTTTTTTTACACGACTATTGTAATAATTTAAATGTTGTCTATCTCTAGAATAGTGTG